TAAAATTAACAAATAACGAAAGTTAGAAAGTGGAAAACAAATAATTTAAAAATGATAGATAAATTAGACATCTTTGGTAGTTAAATCTTTCTTAAGATTTAACAAATAACAAACATATAACACAAGATTAGGCTCATACTTTACCCTCATAATATATGTACTTATCTCTTACAGGCTATTTGGATTAATTGTAGATCTAGTTTAAGGAAATAATCCTGAGGTTATCTACAACGAAAGATAAGTTGATGATCCGGCTATATTTAATGCGTCAAGCAAAAATTTTCCTTTAGCATTTGGAACTGAAAATCCTAAAGATTTCAATCACTTTATTGATGAAAGCATTTATACAATCACTGCTTTTTGGAACTAAAAACTTTTAACTTTCGATGAGACTACCTAGTAGTATATCTCGACTTGGTAACAAAATAGCATAAATGTTTAACCTTGCACAATTGAAAATTTCTAAAATCTTGAAAACTAAAAATACTATCTTCAGCTTAACTATACTAATATGTATTGTCTTCCTCCCGATTTTGAATTGCCAATTTAAGGGGACTTTCCTTCTAAAGTTTATTCAGAAATTCAGATTACAGTGAAGAAGTGTACTAAAAATTGTTAATCTTAAGAAATTTTAGACAGTTTTCTTTAAAAGTCTAATTTTGGTCTTTAGCTATCTGATTCCTATGTAGATCCAACTATTAGTAACAATCCATTCAAAATTTACTCCAGAGATATGTTTTGGTCTACTAGTACTGAGCTCCCAAAAGATGTGTATATTTACATCCGTAATAATTATGTTTACAGCGATTTCGGATGGTTTTTTCCTAATGTGGAAACTTAAAGATTTCCTGCTTATAGTTTTTCTGAAAACTATGTAAATAAATTGAACATCCAATTTTTTACTTAAGTTTTGTTTAAAAAGTAATATAGTAATTTTAAAATATTTTTTTTTATAAAAGGAATATCCTCCATCATTTTAGGATTATTTTCTTACCATTCGTTTCAGATTTGAAAAGCAAAAAGAGAGTGTCTATAAAAGATCATATAGAAAATTCATTTCTATTTTTTCTGAAATTGGAGGATTTACTTAGAGTTTTCTTGCAATTGGATATGTGCTTTGCAAAAAAGTATCGCAGACAAAGTTAGATATTGACCTTATTAACAAAGCATTTAAATTTGAAGAGAATTTAAAAAGTAAATAATAAAATGAGGAAAAAGAAGCAAATGAAACAAAACATGAATAACAAAAACAGGGAAATAAAAAAA